CGCTATATTGATGGGTTTTTTTTAAAAGATTTATTTATTTATTCGTACAGAACTGGGGTACAGGCCAGAGATGCGGAGGGTAAGAGGATTCACCAGAGACAGAGTGGGGAGCAGAACAGGCAGATCGACGAAGTACTCTGCTAAGGGAGCAGCTGGCGGGTCAGGAGAGGTCTGCCACACCATGTGGTCACCTCCGGGGCAGGTGGGGATCGAACTCATGATGAAGTGGTTTAAGCTTTTTTGTGCTGTGCTTTAACCCGCTGCGCCACCAAGGAGGGCCTTACATAGTAGGTTTTTAGCATATATTTGTTAAATGAAAAAAGTAACTTGGAATTGGATGTGAAATAAAGTCCCTTGGAATTAGATGTGAACTAAGGAAATTATTTTCAATGTAGTGTTTCTTAGAATTATTATTATTTTTTTAAAGATTTATTTATGCATACAGAACTGGGGTAAAGGCCACAGGTGCGTGGGTGGTAAGAGGATTCACCAGATACAGAGTGGGCAGCAGAACAGGCTGACTGACCAAGTACAATGCTGAGGGGAGCAGTGTGTGGGTCAGGAGAGGTCTGCTGAACCACGTGGATCGCTCCGGGGTGGGGATCAAACTCATGTTGAAGTGGCTTTAGCTTCTTTGTGCTGTGCTTTAGCCTGCTGCACCACCAGGGAGGGCCCTGAATTACTATTTTAAGATCCCTTTAAAAATCAGGGATCTGATTTAAATCTCGTTTGCTTTGTTGCAGGTCCAATTTACTTATTTTAAAGTCATTGCCGGTTTTCATGGTTACACCCTATTTATTTTACTATTTTTTCCTGGAATCAAAGATAAAAGAAAGGTTTTCTATTTAGAAATGTGTGGCAAAGTTTTCTTAATCACATCCTGTGTTGTCATTTCCGAAGCATGTCCATCATCCCTTCTGTTTGTGTATTCATAACATCCTGAAGGAAAATAGGAACCAGAATTATAGTAACAACGATTGTCATTGAAGGAGCTTAGAAGTCTGTGTCAGACTTTTAATAAGACCTTTCTGGGAACTTTTAAGGATTATCTCAATTATGCATATGTCTGCATTGGGTTCCTTGGAATGTGATCTCTGAACTAAGCAGAATGCAAGTCTGTCACCTGCCCTAGCCAGGGCTGAGTCTTAGGGTCAAATAAGGCTCATTCTGCCTGGGGCATAGTTTTCAGCATATTTGTGCCAGCTGTGGTAATATGAATGGGTAGTTGGCATGCACCATGAATGATGAAATGCAGTTTATCAATCCAGAGCTGTCTGAGACCTAGAATATGTCTGCGTGTAAGTTACAATGGGCACTAGTCTAGGGAAATATGATGGAAAAGTGAGAAATGTGGAAGGAAGAAACAATTATCAGAGAAGAGTGAGTAGCAGGAAGGCTCTGGGTCTGAGCCTGGTGTCTGTTGATGAGGCACTAGACAAAATAACATTAGAGATGTGACAGATGTAGCAGATAAAGCAGGCAAGAGATTTTCACCATTGTTTGTCTACTCTATGGAAATTTAAAAGCAAAGAAGTTATGGCCTGATGAGTTTTTGTCACTGGAAATAAAGTTAACATAAAAGTGGTTATTATGAGAAGAGTGATAACGTATTATAAGCTTCTGCTGGAGAATGAATGAGTCTGGAATGGAGTCTTGCAGTGCTTGGGGAGCAGAGCAGACAGCCAGGGTGGGAATCAGCACATTTAGTTAGGAGCAGGAGATCAGTGAGAGCCAGCAAGGCAGGGTCACCAAGAGAACATTGCCAAGGGCGTGGCAGGGCTACAAAACAGTGAGAATTGGTTAGGAGTCCCGAGTCTTACAGCAGGTGGGATTGAGTCAAGGAACATCAACACGAAGGCAGGAAGTTGCAACATCTTTACTGAGTTTTGAAGCAACACATAGGGTGCATACGTAGGGATTTAAAAGCCAGCAGAAAAGATGGCTAAAAGTTTGGTGTTTGTAAGTCAATTTTTATATAGGCTAAAATGTTCATGTCCTGGGACAAAGCTTGTCACACACAAACTCTCTGAGGCGACTGGGTGCTCTTTCACGGGGTCCTCTAACCCGTGTTTACTCTTGACCACCTTTCCACTCCAAGCCCCTTGCACTATATCCCTCAGTCTTAATGGGGAACGGAGGGCTGGCCATCGAGGCCATGCATATGACTTAACTGGGGAGTGGCCCCTTCCCATGACTGAAGACATCCTAGCCGCTGCCTTGTGTCTCTTAGATATTATTGCAATGACACCAAGGTCCATATATGTAACTTCCTTTTAGATACTGCCACACCTCAGTATGTTCAAAGGTGAATCCCATGTTTATCTCTGAACTTAAACTTCTACCACTTGTATTTCTTCACTTCATTGGTGACCCTGCCAATTAGAAGTTTAGAAATCTTGGACTCATTTTACTTTCACTTTATCTCACAGATAAATTCAGTTAGACTTGTGTGTCTGGTTGATTTTTAGCTCCCGAAGGATTTTCAGCTCCCCATACCAGGTTCAGGCCTCAGATATCTGCTCTGAAGCATGTATTAGCCTAACCCTACGCGGCTCTCCCCTCCATAAACTGACCTAGTGCCCAGCCTTTCCTGGGCCCTGCTGGCATGAGAGTCCTAAATGGTATCTTTTACTAACTTCTATTCTAAACCTGGGCTGGGCATCCAGTCTCCTCCAGATTGGGAACAGTCAGTTCTGCACTTACGTTCCCAGTGTCTTCTTGAGCCCTGCAAAGACAAAGCACAGCAAGCACCCCCCTGTCAGGGCCCTGCTTTGCCTTGGACTGCTTCCTTTCCTCTGAGTGACCTTTTTATTTTATATCCCTCATGAAGAATTCTGCACGTCCCTCTAAACCTTAGCTGAGATCTTTTTCTTCTGTCAAGGGCCAGAGAGTAAGTATCTTCAGCTTTGGGGTCGTAGGTCTGTCATAACTACTCAACACTGCCTTTGCAGCAGGTGCAGATAAGAGCTAAGGGGATGTGTGGTAAACTCTAGTACGTGGCAGTTGGCTGGGCTTGCCCTGTGGGCAGCAGTTACCAACTCTGCTCTGAACTTGTTTAGAAGCTGTCCTTCCTTCGATCCTGCCCCTTTCTTCCACCTTAGAGAAGTTAACACTGTCCTGTCAATTAATTTTGCTTCCACTCATCTTTCTTAAGGGGTTGTCAGTCCCCTAGAGGCAGGAACCATCTTGGAGTGATCTGACGTTCAGTGCAGTTCTTTAACTCATGATTTTGTTACTAACAGTTCACAGATGACTTGTTTTCTTGGGAAATAATCTGTTATCAAGCTGAAAGCAAAATAAATGCAAATAGAAGTTGACATTAGCGCGATGCAGTGCATCCATTTAGTAGGGAAAGGTGTATTTTCAGTTAGACTTTTCAAGTATCTGACAAACTTCCCAAACACTCAGATGCCCTGGGCAGAGGCCCTAGTTCAACCCCTTTAGTCATGGTAAAGTGTGTCATCACCAAGTGTCTAAAACTGGGAGTTTGGCAATAGATTGACTTGATGGGTTTGGTTTAAACGGGTGTGTGAGTGAGCAAGTTGGCCTGTGTACAAAACTCTTCAGTCAGTCAATAGGCTGCTGGGAACCTACTCTCATCTTACACCTCTTCCAGAGAGTGAGACTGAGGAGGAACACGATTAGTGCAATGTGTTAGAGTCAGAAGGAAGAAGCAGAAAGACCCGGTTTCTCTGCGTCGGAATCTATGTCTGATTCCCTTGGCATCCCTGACATGTGGGTCGCTGCCAGCAGATACCTATTTGTGGGGCTCTGAAAGGCAGAGATGTTGGGGAAGTGTCAGTGGGAGGGGAGAAATGAAGTTTTCTGCTTTTGGAAATGAAGTTTTGGGGCACACCCAACTCCTTATATATTGCCTGTAGTTTTCTTTCATGGAACAACAGAAGAGTTGTTGCGGATACTATGTGGCCTGCAAAACCAAAACTATTTATTATCCGGTGTTTGAAGAAAGGAAATTTACACACAACTACTCTGGCCCCAGCAGTGTGCTGTCCAATGGAGATGCAGAAAATGTCAAGTAGCCATGTTGAAAAAAAGCAAAACAAAAAGCTGCCTTATCTTGTCACTCTTGATGGACATTGGCATTTTGCTGGGTAGTGCAACAAGGCAAAAAAAAAAAAAAAAAAAAGAGCACAAATTGGGTGTAGAATCAAAGACATTTAGACATTTTTTCCCTTCTTTTTCACTCACTATGGTGAGTGTATAGTATTTTAAATAAAATCTATGTTGGATGAACTTGAGTTGGATAGCAGTTGATTTTACTCTTATGTGGGGTGATTTGACATTTTGATATTTACACTTTTGTGTGGTCGCCTTGCTTTTTTTGGTTAAAATTTATTTATCTGTGCATATAGAACTGGGGTACAGGCCAGAGGTGCAGGGGCGGTAAGAGGATTCACCAGAGACAGAGTGGAGAGCAGAACAGGCAGATCGATGAAGTACACTGCTGAGGGGAACAGCGGGCAGGTCAGGAAAGGTCTGCCGCGCCATGTGGGTCACCTCTAAGGCGGGGATCGAACTCATGCTGAAGTGGCTTAAGCTTCTTAGTGCTGTGCTTTAACCCGCTGTACCACTACGGAGGGCCTGTCTTGGTCTTTTTTAATGGCTCTCCAGAGGGGTCAGCGGGAAGAAGGGGCAGATGTGGCTGGGGAAGTAGCGACCTTGTGCCTTGAGGGTGTCTCACCCCAGTGTCTCATGATATGGGGCACTTCCATGCCCATGGAGGTTGCTGGACCCTGGGGTTCTGTAAATCTTAAGTTTTCCTGTTTTGTGACAGGGACTGCTTGGTACGACTTTGCAACCCACATGTGGCAACAATGAAAGAAGATGTTCTCTACCATTTTAATCTCAGCACTGGCACTCACAACTTCCCAGAGATGTTTGGGGATGTGAAGGTAAAATGGGATATTTCATTCTGGGGATTAATCTGCCTCCTCCTAGGTGATACAGACAGACTTCCTCACAGTGGATGGAAGTAACAGAGGTAATGAAGCTACATGCTTACCAGATTTTTGTGAGTTGTTGCTTTTCTCATGCATATGAACTAGCAAGTGAAAGAAAACTGTCTTGATCACTGACATATTGGTCCCTAAATATTCTTACAAATTTAGTGTAAAATAGGAACTTCTTGAGCCTACACCTCCTGTCTCTCCCCCTGGATCTTTGCATATATTGGTCACTTTGCACCAAACAACCCAGTGAATTAGAATTAGATACCCACTTTACAGATGGACGGTGGGGCCTGCTCACACAGGATTTTGGGCCTTCTTTTATTTTAATTTTTTTTAAAGATTTATTTATTTGTGCATACAGAACTGGGGTACAGGCCAGAGGCTCAGGGGTGGCGAGAGGCTTCACCAGAGACAGAGTGGGGAGCAGAACAGGCAGATGGACAAAGTACACTGCTGAGGGGAGCAGCGGGCGGGTCAGGAGAGGTCTGCCACGCCATGTGGTCACCTCCCGGGCAGGCGGGAATCGAACTCATGCGGAAGTGGCTTTCGCTTCTCAGGGTTGTGCTTTAACCCGCTGCCTTCCGAGGTGGGCCTATTTTAATTTTTTTTTTTTAAATTAATTTATGCTCACAGAACTGGGGTACAGGTCCAAAGATACAGGGGCTGTAAGAGGATTCACTGGAGAGAGAGGGGGGAGCAGAACAGGCAGACTGATGAAGTACACTGTTGAGGGGAACAGCAGGCAGGTCACAAGAGGTCTGCTGTGCCACGTGGATCATCTCCAGGGCTGGGGATTGAATTCGCACTGAAGCTGCTGTGGCTTGCTTGCAGTGCTGCACTTTAACCCTGTGCGCCACCAGGGAGGGCCAGGATTTTGGACCTTCTAACCACAGGTCCCCTCCTATCTACTGAAACTGTATATTGAACTGCTGTCCAGTTCAAGTGAGAAAGAGATCAGGCAGGTGTGGAACCTGGGAATGCTGCTCCAGAGAAGCTGATTGCTTAGTACTGCTGTGCCCTCCTGTATGAGGAGTGATACCGGGACCCAGTGATTCTTTTTGTTTTTATCACTTTTTTAATGACTTTAAAAAAATAATATAATAATTTATTTTTCCATCATTTTATGCATTTTTCATCTCAGTTGTAATCCCCGTGGGCTTCTCCATCACCCAATCACCCATGCGCCATCATCATAGTCCCGTGCATTCCCCCCCCCAACTGTTTTTGATCCCATTCCCCACTCCACCCCCATAAAATGTCACTGGTATATAGCCGTTCATTATTATTATTATTTTTCTCACCTGGTCCTGCTATGAGTGAAACCATCGGCATTTTTACTTTTCTTTCTGGCCTATTTCACTAAGCATGATCTTTTCTAGCTCCATCCATGATGCTGCAAAAGGCATTTATCTATCTATCTATCTATCCATCTATCTACTTATTTATTTAGGTTGCTAAGTAATATTCCATTGTGTATATGTACCACATCTTTTTAATCCAATCATCTACTTTTGGGCATTTGGGCTGTTTCCATGTCTTTCCAGTTGTAAATAAGTAGCAATAAACATGGGGGTGCAGGTATCTTTTTGAATCAGTGCTTTTGTGTCTTTTGGGTAGATACCTAAGAGTGGGATTGCTGGGAATATGGAAGCTCCATGTCTAGCAGTTTGAGGAACCTCCAAACAGTTTTCCATAGTGGTTGTACTAGTTTGCATTCCTACCCGCAGTGCAGGAGAGTTCCTTTTTCTCTACATCCTTGCCAACATTTGTTATTGCTAGTGTTTTAAGATGTGCCATTCTCATGACCCATTGATTCTTAAGTGCACGTGTGTCAGAATCGCCACGGTGCTCACTAAAGCACATTACTGGACTCTCAGAAGTAGAAGGTCGCACTTAGGGCCAGGGAACTTGCATTTCTATAAGTTCTAGGTGTTGCTGATGTTGCTGGTTCGGTTCTACTTTGGGGATCCCTGTTACTCAGCCCTGTGCCTGAACTGATGGGGGCTCTGCTCTCTGTTCATAGTTCGTGTGTGTTGGAGGAACCCCTTCCCGAATGCAATCCTTCATCAGATACCTGGCTCTGGAGCTGGGCATTCAACACCCAGGTGACGACTACCCCAACCTCTGTGAGGGCACTGACCGCTATGCCATGTTTAAAGTGGGCCCGGTGCTGTCAGTCAGTGTGAGTAACTGCCCCTGGCCCCTCATGGATGGGTGGTGGGCTCTGTTTGTGCTACTGCAGACTTTGGCAACATGCCACATATGCAGGCTACTGTCACTTCAACACACTCTTACTCTAGAAGATTAGGAGCAAAGTGAGCCCCAAATCTGGCAGTGGAGATAGGTGGGTCCCAGGGCCCAGCTCCTCCTGGCTCAGGGTCCTGGAAAGACCATGACACAGTGCTAACAAAAATCTAGCTTCACTTGGCTGTGTGCATGTGGGGAGGCTCTCAGGTTAAAGACACAAGCAGAGGACACCCTGTGTGCATCAAGATTGTGAGGGAAGTGTGATCCCCAAGCCTCCAGTGCCTACCCCCACCTCACAGTGAGTTTCTCTAGATACATTTTGATGCATAGTGAGAGTGAACACAGAAATTTCTGGTATTTCCCAAAGTTGGTTCCCTTGGTAGGCAGCAATGCAGATGAAGTCCACCTGGAGTTAGGGCTGTCCCTCTACTGGGCTGAGCATTGCTCTTTCTCTGGACTACCTGATTGCACCCATCATCCAGAGTGTACCAAGAGCCAAGATTGTATTTAGCTCCAGAAATTCACAGATGCACTTCCCATGTGCAAGACCCTGGCAAACACACTCTCAAAGGATTAGTTCTGCCTTAGAATCTGCACAGGAGCTGCTGAGGGCACTGGGGGGCTGTTGTGGAAGCTCTGACTCTGTGAGGGCTCTGGGTAACTCTGCTGGGGGCACAGACAGAACCAAGGAGGTGCTGGGGGTTCCTTAGTGTGGCTAAGCAGAGCTTGCGGAGGGAAGTGAAAAGAGAAACTCCAACAGACTTACATGGGCGGGGGTTTGCATAAGGCCTCCAGAGCCAGAGGTTTTTTGTTACCCCAGGCTAACAGGCCCTTGCTCCCCCACAGAGCTGCCTCTCAGCCCTCAGCGTGCAGAGCGTGTAGGTGGCCCGTGGGCGCTGAGTCCCCTCTCAGCTTCCCACTCTGCTGGGCTTCTCCTCTTCAGCTCCTCCTCCCCTGGCAGCTCCCTGGGTGGGGGATCAGACTGCTTGCTACAATGCTTATGCATTCATTAATTTTTATCACCAGAAAAAAAAATTACAACAAATTACACAAACTTCGACATGTCCCAAAGTGCCAATAGCTTTAAAATTTATAATTTGAGGCCCACTTTCTGTTTTTACCAGTTTGAAATGCACCGCAGACATCACAAAGGCACCCCTAGGACTTAATTTGGGCATTTCTTCCTGCTTCCAGCACGGGATGGGCATTCCTTCCATTGCCATCATGCTGCACGAGCTCATCAAGCTGCTGTACCACGCCAGGTGCTCTGGCGTCACCCTCATCCGCATCGGCACCTCTGGAGGGATAGGTACCGTGACAGGGCCCTCTGCCTGGGGCCAGCATGGAGTGGACGGGGACTGCAGTCCCCCTGAGGTGGGCCAGTGTAGGGCAAGTACTTTGGAATACTGAGCTTCTACCTTGGTTTGCAAGGAGAGTTCATTCTCAGGATGTGGGAAAGTATCTTATTTTGTTATTTGTTGGTTCTGCCCATTTTCCTAGTTCACACCTCAGAAAGGTACCCGGTCAAGCCTCTGTAGAAACTCATCATTTCAGGGTCCCACACTTTGTGCCTTCTTGTTTGTTCAAATCTCTTTTTGTTCTTTCTTATATCCTCTCTCCTTTGCTTTGCTGACTCCCTCTCCCTTTTCCTGTAAGGATTTGAAGCACATTATCAGAAAACTTCCTGGAAAATCAGAGAGGTGAGAGAGGAATGGAATACAAAATGAAGACAAGTGTCTTCAAGTTGCCTCAGCGTGTTTGTTACCATTTACATCACAGAGACCAACAAAGAAAATAAAAAGATGCAATAGGAAGGAAGCATTCTAAAAGTGTGTTGAGTTTCAAGCCACAGCTTATTAGTCAGTTTTGCTTTATATTAAGCTATTTCCCCCTCTGAGGTCCCAAACGACAAGGAGCACCAACCTCTAGCTCTGGTGATTCTCAGTCCTGTTGTTACCAGCAGGGCCCATGGCCCTTTGTCCCTGACTTCCTGGACACAAGCTGCTTCCTATCACAAGCTGCTTGGTCTTGTAGATTCATCTCTGATGACGTCAGTAGCTAGATGTCCTCAGCTATGCCAAGAACACCAACAGTCATTCTTGAGTAGCTTACTTTGGAGGGAATTTTAAAATTGATCATCAGAATCCTTCTGGTGAGAAAAACTTAGGCTTTGAGTCTACACTAGGACAGCTCCAGAGCAATGCCAGACCCCCAGGGAGCAACAATAACATGAGATAGCAGCACGCCCGAGTCCCCAAGTAACACAAGCCATCCACAGGGTGGGTATGGAGTTTCTGATGGACACGAAAATAGAAGAATCCCCCAAACAGCCCTCAGGTTCTCCTGGGAGAGTGGGCTGTGTTAGAACTGCAGCTGGTATAGGAAGGGATTTACACATGCTGATTTGACTAACAAGTGAAGTGAGGAATTTTGGCTATTCTGGGCCTTTGATTCTAGGAAAGCTACAAACCAGACTTTTCTTCAGGTTCAGTCTTCTCAGTGTTGGAGAAAGAGTCTAGAGGAGAGACTAACTTGTTCAAAACAGAGACCAGAGGGGTGAGGCAAAGTCCAGTTGAATGTAATGCAAAGCAGCTAGATCTTAGCAATTTGTCCTAGTTTTCCCACAGAAACAGTAAATGTGGGGCTTTAGAACAGATCTCTTCATTTTGTTGTCTCTCTCTCTTTTTTTTTAATGTTTAGGAAAACTGGTTTCACATTAAAATACCAGAAAGGTTCATGGTCAAATCCCATGCACCATTTTTGAACTACGCCAAAATAAGCAGTGTCCAGTGAATTTGACAACATCCAGGAAAAAATTTTCAGAAAATGTACAAGGCAGAACATAATGGTGTGTCTATACCACAGGACAGCATCTATGCCACAGGACAGTGAGGCGGGTCAGGAGCTGGGGGTGGGTGGACCATGTGTACACTTTGGAGTTTATTGTATACTTCCACATTACTGGAAACCCTAAGCAATAAAAATGTATAAAATACGGACTAATTAAATGCACAGTAACCTTCACAAAATGCCTGACAAAAAAACTAGTGTGTCTGGAAAGCACATTTCTACAAGAGGGGGAGGCTCTTGGCAATTTCTACTTTCTTTACACTGTTCCCCTCTATAGTATCTTTAGTACTTAAGCATTAATTACCTTTATCACTAGAAAAAAAATGCAGCAAATAGATCTTTATGTACAAGGCAGAACATAATGGTGTGTCTATACCACAGGACAGCATCTATGCCACAGGACAGTGAGGCGGGTCAGGAGCTGGGGGTGGGTGGTCTTTTTGTAACTCACTTTCGATGCTTTAGCACGTGGGTGCAGGGTGGGATCACTTTCCCTCACTGTACTCCGTGTGCTGACTCTCTTCTCCTCCAGGGCTGGAGCCTGGCTCTGTGGTCATCACCCAGCAGGCGGTGGATGCCTGCTTCAAACCCGAATTTGAGCTCAAGGTCCTGGGGAAGCGGGTGGTTCGGAGCACAGGTCTGGATGAGCAGCTGGTGCGGGAGCTGGCGCAGTGCTCCTTGGAGCTGAGCGAGTTCCCCATCGTCGTGGGCAACACCATGTGTACCCTGGACTTCTATGAAGGTGAAAGGGCGGGTCTCACTTCCCAGCGGGGGCTGGTCTCCTGCGTGGGGGTTTCCATAATGGCCCGGGTCCCTGTCTCATCAACGTTTCCCGGGGAGCTGCTGTCGTCCTCTGCTCATGAGTGGGTGTTCTGGGTTCAGAGACCCTAGTGGCGCCCTCCGGGGGAGCATGCTGGGCACGAGGTAAGAGCTCTGCACCTGTTTGTGTCCGCTGACCAGGTCTCCGTGTGCTTTCAGGGCAAGGGCGTCTGGATGGTGCGCTCTGCTCCTACACGGAGAAGGAGAAGCAGGAGTATCTGCAGGAGGCCTACCAGGTCGGCATCCGCAACATCGAGATGGAGTCCTTGGTCTTTGCGGCCATGTGCAGAGCGTGTGGTCTTCGAGGTGAGCTGGCCCTTGGGCCCTGAGTCCCTTCTCAGCTTCCTACCCTGCTGGGCTTCTCCTGGTCAGCTCCTCCTCCCCTGACACCTATTGTCAGCTCTTCTTCCTGCCCACCCGACCCTCAAAGCCTGTTTGGGACCTGCTGATATGGCACAATCTGTGCCCAGATGTCCTTTGATGGTCTTGCAGTCAGATGCAGGGGAAGCTGGCTTCTGAGCTAGGAGAGGCTGAGGATGGACTCTCCACTTAGGTTTTGCCAACCCAACAATATTGAACTTGACTTCTGAATTGGGGTGAATCCACCCAGGACTGTTGCTCTTCACAGTCCAACTCTGCTTTCCAGAATTCCTACCTCCCTGTCATTGTGCTGTTCAAAGCAGTACAGGATCTCCCACTAGGTCCTATGATTTTCTGGGGGATTTCTTTTGGGAGCAAAGGCAGTGGGGAATAAGGAAAGTATAAGGCAGGACAGTACAAGGAGGGAGGAACCTTCTAGGCCTTTCCTTTCTCTCCATCTGCCAACACACAGTGGGTGGTCTCACCAGCCCCACCCTCTGAGGGCTGCAGAGGTGATGCCTGGGCTGTCTCTGGACTCGTGCAGACACCTGACATCCTCACATGCTCTTTGTTGTTTGCAGCGGCTGTGGTATGCGTCACGCTCCTGGACCGCTTGAAAGGGGATCAGATCAGCAGCCCTCACGAGGTCCTCAATGAGTACCAGCAGCGGCCTCAGCGACTGGTGGCTCACTTCATCAAGAAGTGCCTTGGCTCAGCAGCCCTCTCCTGACCGCCTGCTGCTCCTCTCAGCAGTGTATTTTTCAGGGTCTTCCTGCTCTGCTCCCTAGTCTGTCTCTGGTGAGACACCCATGCACCTTTGGCCTATACCCCAGTTCTTGTATGCATAAATAAATTAAAAAAAAGTGCCTTGGGGTGGTCTGAAGTCCTGCACCCTAGGATCAGTGGTTCCAATTGTGTGCAAATAAAATCATTGTCAAATTGTCCCTTTGTATGACTCAGAATACATTATATTTTTAAGAATTTAGGGAATTGAGGACCTTTCAGTGCCAAAGAACACTGAATTAGCTACCCAATTTTTACTTGTTGACTTTCATTGGAGTGTTTTCAACTATGTTAGTCTGATTTGGGTTTTCCTTCAGAATGACTCTGTAAACATTTGAAATATTTCTAGGGGAAATTTCAAACTTTCAAAATTTTAATGGGTTTAGATTTTACATTATAAGAAAGAAATCTAGTTAGAGTGTCATAAAACTTATTTCTGATGCCTTAAAAAAATCTGCATATCACTTCTAATCAGAGTACTGAAACCAAAGATGCAGGGACCAGGTATTCGAGAATGAATGCACACAGGGACCTAGACACTTCCTAAGTTTTATTCAGCCGCATTTCGGGAACTATCTAAGTCAGCCTAGACTGTGAGAATGCCAGCTCCATTCTCCAGGTGGGTCTGGGCACCTATGCTAGGTTCGCCTGCGTTCAGACAGGCTGCTGTCCGCCCATGGCTGGGTAGCCACGGGCCCATGCTGGCCCTTGCTCTCTGCCCATTCATTCCAGCCTCCCTGGTCCTTAAGTGTCCTCTGTGGTGTCTCACTGAATTTGGAGGTTTGGCAGAAAGGAGAATCCAGGGTACCTGTCAGTGAGTCTGACAGCAGCTGCTTCTGTATTACACTCATAGCTCCCCTGGCCTCGTCAGCCCTTTCATCTCCCCAATCTGTGTCAGCCCTGGTGTATTTCCTAGCTGCCACAGTTGACTTCTCAAATTCTCTATGTCAGTTGAAGTGGGTGTATGTCCTGATATACACAGAGGCTGCTCAGCTGCATGGCAGCTATGTGACTTTGAAGGGTACAGGGGAGCATGCCAGGACAGTGGTATGTGTGACTTGCTAGACTTCTAAAAGCCCCCTCCCTGAGATTCTCCCTAAATGGAGGGCCACTCACCTGGCCATTTCAGTAGGACCCTGGGTAGCGCTTTCCAGGTGGCAAGAACAGGGAGCCCTGCTTTCTCTCCCCAATGACCTTAAGTGCCGAAGCTGGAAGCTGGAGGGCTGGGCAGCTCACTGGTGGAGAATGAAGCTCCTGTAGTTCCTCCTGAGCCTTCCTGAGTGATTATTTGCTGCTACCTAAATTTAGACTTTCCAGCCAGGAGGACAAAAGTCCATCTGGAGACCCTGGGGTGGCTGGCTGGTCCTGGAATGTGTATATCCACTGTGGCCACCACTAACACCAGCATGAGGTGCAGGATCTGGGCTTTGTTAACAGGCTACTGTCATGGGCTCCCATCTTCCCCCACATTCCGGAGTGCCCAAGGCCGTAGTTGGATGTACCTGGTTGTTCTGGGTGCCTGTCCAGTCAGATCTTGCTCTCACCCTTGAAAGGCCGTCTCCCTGCAGCCTCTGGCCCGCTGTGCTGCTGTGCTGGCCTGGCGAAGCCTGCATGTGGCCTTTGCAGCCATGTGTCGAGGCTGGGAGCCAGCATGCCAGAGAGTGCTTGCTTGGCTGAGGATGCAGGCTGGGGCTGATCCCTCAGCCCATAGGCTGACTTAGATAGTTCCAGAAATGTGGCTGAAGATAACTTAGGAAGTATCTATAACCCTGGGAGCATTCATTCTCCCATAGAGACCTTGTTGGGTCTTCTTCCAACTCCTGAGAGGACATCTTTGGTGAAGCAGAGAAAACCCTGAAACATTACCAGCATTGAAGTCTGTCTCTAGCAAAAGCAGAACCCCAGCAGGTTCTGTCTCTGGGATTCCCAAATGTCTCTTCTGTCAGAAAACTGTCTTTCTCTATTCCACCCACGGCGGGGAGAGCCTTTCTAGAAGTCGTGCACTGATCACCCATTTCTGGGGCTGAGAGGAAGATAGAAAGAGCATCTCCTATTTAAATTTCTCTCAGATGAGAAGGCCAAGCTAAGGCCGCCCAGGTGGACCTTTGCCGCCCTCTTCTGGCTGCTGCAGAGAAGGCAGGTCACTTCACCCGGCTTCCCCTCATTTGTTAGCAGCTCCCTCACGGGGTTGGGAAGGCTACTGTGCCTGACACACAGGGAAGGACCCTTGCACTTTCATTCTGGTGAGCAAAAAAATTGATTCTACTTCCACTATGACAACTAACTGTAGATTTAGTTTCCTTTCTGAAGTGTCTTCAGGGATAACATTGCAAACATCTTCACCAGGATCCCTTCCCTCCTCTGCCTGGCACCCCAAATACCACCCATGGGGGAGTGGAGACATACTCAGCTCCCCTCCAGGGGGAGTGGAGTCCTGCTCAGATGACACAGTACAGTGGAAACAAATGCCTTACTCATCAGTATAGAAAGAACTAAGACATAATTTTACTCTTACGTACTTAAAAATTTAAAAATATATTCATTACATCACTCTTTATTTTTGCACGATATCTGATTCCTCAAACTGCTAAAAATGGAGCTACCATATGATTCAGCAATTCCATTCCTAGGAATCTACCCAGAGGACACAAGAACATTAATTCAAAAGGTCGCAGACATCATTTTAAATGAAAAAAGCAATTTGTAGGATAATACATACGTCATGATTCCATTTCTTTAAAGTTCAAAAGCAGGAAAAATGAAACACTTGTTCAATAATAAGTACATCGTGGTATAAGACTGGGAGAAACTACCACATCAGGGATTGAGAAACTCCAAATTCAGTGTGATGGCTCCCATGTGCAGGAAGGGGCAGATGTATTAGGGAGGAGCTCACGGTCTCCCCAAGAGTGATTCTCTAAGTTCTAAGCTAGACTTTGGCCGTTTGATTTTATTGCCTTTTTACTTCACTCAGTTAATTGTTTTACTGAGGTGACATTGCTTTGCTGTATTGTACATGATTCAATGGTTTAGGAGCACACCCTCAGGTGTGCATTAATCCACACCCCCCCCCCCCCCGGGGCCTTAATTGCCTTCCCTTTGTTCCTTTTTGCCCCGGGGGTTTGTTTTTCTTCTTCCCCCCCCCTCTGGTAGCCTCTGTTTACACATAGATTTCTAGAGTTTGTTATTGATTTGGTTTCATCTGACTTTTTATTTCTCTACTTTCCACACAAAGTTGACACCAGCTGATACTTGTCTTCTCCTGCCTTATTTCACTTAGCATTACCCGTTCCAGCTTCATCCATGTCATCAAAAATGGCAGGAATTTATTTTTTTACAAAGATGAGTGCTGTTGCCTTGTGTATATTTGCTGCATCCTCTGGATCCGCTCATCTCATCTGTCTTTGGGCATCTGAGTTGTACCTGCAATGAACATAGGAGTCCATACTTCTCTTTTAATTAGTTTTTTTGAATTGTTGGGTATATACTATATAGTTAGGAGCGGAATGTCTGGATCATGAGTTCACTCAAATTTTTTTTTTAAAGATTTATTTATTTATTTGTACAGAACTGGGGTACAGGCCAGAGCTGCGGAGGGTGAGAGGCTTCACCAGAGACAGAGTGGGGAGCAGAACAGGCAGATCAACTAAGTACACTGCTGAGGGGAGCAGCGGGCGGGTCGGGAGAGGTCTGCCGCGCCATGTGGTCACCTCCGGGGCAGGCGGGATTCGAACTCATGCGGAAGTGGCTTTAGCTTCTCAGTGCTGTGCTTTAACCCGCTGCGCCACCAGGGAGGGCCTCAAATTTTTAAAATTGATCACAACTTGGATTTTGTTTCTGATTGTCATGTAAGGAACATTACTGAAGGAACATTACTGCTTGCCTACTGCTCAATACATACTTTTTCAATTAACAAAAAATATGTTCAACTAACAAAGAAATCTGATGTAGCAGGATCAACTCAGCAGACATGAGCTACTAGTGACAAAAAATATTTATCAAAATAAGCACTGTACTAGGTGCAAACATGCAACTTATATGAATTCTCCTAACACTTATTGAATGTGTATCCACACCCGAGGGGAAAAACAGAGCTATAAAAGCCTTCCTGTTTTACTGCGTGGGGCAACTCCGGCTTTTTGAGATGCCCACTGCCTTGCAGAGCTCTGTCCTTCCAGAACAAAGGAGACACTGTCATTATTTCCATATTACAGATGAGGAAATTCCAGATCATACCACCCTCAGGTGTCAACAGAGCCAGCTCATATCTGCACATGTGCAGTGGGCCGAGAGAGAGGGTAAGATGATAAAAATGACTGACAGAAGCTCTGCCTGTCCAGTCCCAGAGTGAAAATAATCACCAAGTTTCTCCAAATTTCCATAGTTTTTCGTTATGTTTTCATGTCCCAGTGTTTCCAGAATTGTTAGTTGTGGGGGGTGCATGGAGTTTTTATTGTTATATTTGGAAGGAAATTCAACAAGAAGCTATATGAGCAAAAGGCTATCGTTGGCAAATTTACTCCGTAAACTTGGGATTGAGAGTTGACAATTACAAGCTCAGTTTGTGAAACAATATCTTGCTCACATCCTCCTCCAAATTTCTGAACTAGTAGAAACTTCGCCTTTCCTCTTTTTGAGTGTTGGAATGTGTGGGTGTGTGGGAGGTGTGGGGGGTGTCGGGGGAGTGGATCCTAGTTCAAGACTCTTCCCAGGCCTTCTAGACCTGCCAGATCATCTCTAGCTGGAAGCCCTGTGACCACCTCAGCTGCAATGTGGGAGTGCAAAAATCAGCCAATCAGCCCTACTGATCTGGGGTACAGGGTGGAGGAGTGGGTCAGAGCCCTTTCCATCCCTAACATAGACTTTTGCTTTGTTTTGTTTTCTTGTTTTGCTGTACCCAAACTCCTATTCCTTTTGGAGTAATGGCACTGAGTAAACAGACTCAAAGCTGGCTAGAGAGATTCGGATCCATATCTGTTTAGACTTT